ACGTTGGTTTTGGAACCAATAGAATAGGTAGCCTTGTATTTTTCTGAAAGAAACACTCTGTCAAACATTGACTGGAGCAATGAGGAACATGTCTGTTGTCAGCTCGCTGACGGCACACAAGTTAAGATTGTACTTGTAGCAACACAATTTACAGGTCAGTGAAGGGAAAGCAACGCTAGTGGCTCGTGTCCTACGTTACGTTCGGGCTGCTCAACAAATACCGTATTTGTTGAGCAGCCCGAACGTAACGTAGAACACGAGCCACTAGCGTCGCTTTCCCTTCACTGACCGCTGGACCCCGACGACAATGACGCAACTAATGACTCTGAGCTGCAATCTAATGACTCAGAAGACGCCGATACACCATCAGACTCTTCAGGTACAAAGTTACAAGGTACTCTTCGTCCCAGACACAGATGTCGAATGCGTTACTGTACAAAGCAAGTAAAGGATTTCGTTATATTTACTATATTTGTAGATAGTGGCTGGGGTGAGGTGGCGGGGGGGGGGCGTTATAATTTTGGGAGATTTGGAGGGGGTCAGAGCTAATTTGCCTTTGATGTGAGGGGCCCCCTCCTGATAATTATTATACAGTATCCTATGATATGAGAAAATCTTTCTATTTCTAGAACAAATTGCGCCATCTTGACATCATATATCCGCGCTGATCCACGCACGTGTCATCATCATCTTTGGTTCTCGAGTGGATGTTGTCACGTTCCGTGATCAAATTGTGAGAGGATTTTTCACAGCGATGGCAGGAAGAAAAGCCAGGGCTCTTCTATATACTTTTATTCCCTGAGTTTATGGAAAAGGTCAGTTTTTCAGGGTCGAAAATATCTTTAATGTCGCGCTGTGAATGAATAGTATCTGCTCGCGCTAGTTGTCAATCAATCAATCAATCAATCAATCAATCAATCATCTTTATTGGCCCACAAATGAAATTCATTAAGGTATTACTTTAAATACATTGTAAGTTAGTTAATAAAAATAAGAAGGAAAGTTATTATTAAAAAAAAAAAGAGCCTAGGGGCTAAAGGAACCGTAAGGTTTTCGAGTTAGCCCCTATAACCATTTAGAGTTATTTTAATAAAAAAAAAAGGAGCAACAAGGAGAGAAAGCAAATAATGCTTAATGAAGTTGTACGCGTAAACTTTTGCGCTTGTGTTGTAGAGAAAAGTTATGTAAGAAGACGCTTTACTCGTGTATCGGGTTAATTTGGGAGATTCCCAAACAATGCTTACTCACACCAAATTTCTTATTGTTTCTGCTTGTTTGGCGACTTTACAAAGTTTTTTTTAGGCAGTTCTGGTGCGTACGAGTAGTTCATTTGCATAGTGCACCGCGTGCACTTTCAAGTACGAGTCGGTGTTTTCAATTGTCAACAAATCTTGACAAAGACTTGTTTCGTTGTCTTTTGTGCTGAGATGCTACAACACTTTTCACCAACGCCAAAAGACTACTAACATCATGTGAGTTTCTTTCACATAGTGAAACTTGACACTGCGAAAATAAAATAGACAAGGAGTTTTGATAACTCAACCAACAAAATCGGAATTAATTGGTTTGAATTGTGTGATCGTCCGGGTGAGGGCAGTTCTAAGAAGAACTGTAGTTGGTGACTGACGTTTCGACAACCTGAGCGGAAGTCATCTTCAGAGTCAAGTGAATAGTGTTGGTCAGTCGATGATGTTATAATGGTCAGTTAAGCCATGATAGCATTGGCTGAAAGACTCGTGTTAAGTTTGTCATCAGTTATTGGTCGGTTTCGATCCGTCTTTTCAATCAATCAATCGATTAATCAATCAATCAATCTTTATTTAAACACCAAAATCTTATCATAGAAATGGTCTTCCTTGGAGTCGTGTAAAAAATTACAAGGAAAGAATTAACTATATTAATAGGAATGGATTAACTAACAATACATTACATTAACTAACGAACTAATTAAGTAGCCTACAGTAAAAAACCTTTGTAATAAAACTTTCTCTAATCTACGATGCAGTAAAAGAAAACAATTTCGCATTCAGTGATTTTTTAGACAGTAGTCAAATTTGTGGTCAAATTGATTGGTTCGAGGTCCGTCTATTGTTAGTTAAGTCGGTCTGTTAGAAGTCCGTTTGTCGGTTTCGTTTTCGTCGTGGATAAGTGGTTTGTAAGGCGCCGGTGCAATTTTCCCTTTCGTAAACAAGCGATGCCATTTTCGCAATTTTTTTAACGCTCAACAAATTTTTCTCTACTAAATTAAAGAAAAATATAAGTACCCACCTAGCATCGAACCTGGATCTCTGTTTCCTAACATCCCTCTAGACACTACACCACCTAGCATCATCCGCCAAATTTCCGCAAAATTTGATTATAAAATGTGACTTTCTTAAATATTAATGATAGAGCTGCCCCAACCTACAAATAAAAGCTAACCGCAAGCAAACAAGTGTAAATATGAACAATTAAGCATTTGGTGAGTGCGTTTTACTCCATCGACAAATTATAACCAGTTTCTACTTTTTGTCCAGGCCTGAACTGAAGCAGATATAGCATCGTCCATTCTGAAAGGCTTGGTTACCAATTATGGCATCGGCCTTTAAAAATGGTATCGCTTGTTTACGAAAGGGCAATATGCAGCTGTGACATGGCTCCTGGTTATGAGGCGTTTGTTTTAAGCTTTCCAGAGTCAGTCATTGAAAATAGTTTGTACTGTAGGTTAAGCATTGAGCAGAGTTCCAGTCAGTGTTGTGGTTTATTTAAGGAATGGACAATGTCTAGCGTGCGTTCATCCAATTCGGGATGCACGCGGATAGTTGGGAGAGCACGAAGGTTGCTAGTTACTAGCTACCTAAGTGCTCTCCCAACTATCCAAGTGCATCCCGAATTGGATGGACACACACTAGACATTGTCCATTGCTTTTATAACAAAGCAGGACACTTATCACGCTGAAAAGTCGCTTTTTCTGCACTGATCAAATTGCAAATTCTGCACGTGCACGTGTTGTTTTAACTGGCAGCACTTCGCAGCACTTTTAGCTACACGTGCACGTGCACGTGTTGTTTTCACCGTTAGCACTTTCGCTTTGTTGATCTTTCGACGTTTCCGATGTTTCTGCAACCATTTCAGACACGTTTTCTAAATCTTCAAAGTCACCGAGAAACCCTAACTCAAATGTTGGATAATACTTGCCATTAGTAACAGCTGAAGTTAAGTTTTACTCGAAGAAAGTTGCGAGAAAAACTTTTGCTGGCAAGAAATATCACCGACAGTGAGGTCAGCATGAACCATCTCTATGAACCATCCATTTCTTTTTCATAAAAATTAGCCAATCAGAGCGCGCGCTAGCATATAGCTATGTTATAACAGTTGATGATGCACAGCAATGTGATTGTTGGCATCACCATTTCTCGTCAGTCTCTGCCTGTCTCACCAATGTAGGAAGCCTGGCAGTAGGAACATTTGATCTTCTACTCTGATCTGCTCCCTGTCTGTTGTTGGGTTCGTCCCTGTCTTTAACGTTAAAGACAGGGACGAACCCAACAACAGACAGTCCTCGCTTATGGCTCCTGTTCAACACCATTAAGAATACCAGTTATATTTAAACGCCGCACGGGCGCGCGTGGTGCGCACCATCCCCCTGTTTTTGCAACGGGATTCGAAACTTATAATTTACTGTCACAGTGAGAAATTCAAAGAAAGACCATTGAAGTAATTTTAAATTGAAAAATACATATAATATACATTCACAGTCCACATGACGTTGTTAAGTTAACAATATTGGGCATTTATTCTTGTGTAATTTAACTTCAATATGATTTATCGCATGATTTACAGGTAGGTGTATTCTACCACAATTACTTTAAAATAATGATTTTGAAATACATAGGCAAGTGCAAACAATATAAGCCGGCGTTTCGGTATTATCATGATGCCATTGTCAAAGTGATTATAGATTCTGCTGCGAGTTCGCTAAATATGCATAATAAAAGGAAAACTTGAGTTGATAAATACTTTTTTCAAGAATAGAGTCTGATTCCATGTTAAGAGTGGGCTTTATATAAAAATCTGGAAATATCAAAATTAGGTTAACTCTGGAAATCTAGTCCATTAATTAAACGATAATAGCCGGCGTTTCGGTGTTATCATGATGCCATTGTCAAAGTGTTTATAGATTCTGCTGCGAGTCACCTCGTAGGAAGTCCGTTAAATTTGCATAACAAAAGGAAAACTTGAGTTGATAAATACTTTTTCACGAATGGAGTCAAATACTATGATTAGAGTGGGATTATATGGAAATCCGGAAATATCACAATATTAGGTTAACTCTGAAAATCATGGAAAATCTAACCCATTTTCCTAACTGATCGTATTCTTTATTTGTTCTCGCTACTATGCGCATTCTGCGCATAAGAGAACTCGTTGAATAAATTATGATAGACATAACGCGATTTTAGCCTTAAAAATTAAGCCAAAAAAATTAACAAAATTGTTGATATTTGCTTTGCTTGTATCGGGGGAACAAGGTTCATTTTGGAAATGAGTGGGCTTCATTTATCGAACAAACGATCAAAAGCATTAACATTTCCCACTTTTGACATATTGGAATAATTCCCAAAGACTGCGGAAATGCAGCGTGCGGATCTGTATTCCTCCTGGATAAAACGTATCGTTTTAATTTACGTTAATTCTTTCTTATAATTTTTTTTATCTCTTCATTATTTTATACGTACATCTTATTCTCTTACTTAATCTTATATTGGGCATAATACTTTTATAGGTTTCATTAAACTATTAATTTATTTATTTTGTAAACTAATGTAATGCAGATAATCTGCTTTATAAGTCATTAAAGTATATGTAGAAGTAGAAACAGCGACATGAATCAACCCTTGAAGATAAAAGTTTTAACAACAAAAAGGCAGTATTCTTAAGTCAGTCTTGAGCTCTACGCGTATAGAAAAGATCTGCGACATTCGTTCTCTTCTTTTACCAATGCTCAGGCATGAATGCT